CTGTTTGTCTCGATTCGTTACTTCACATGACTGCTAGCTGGAGTGGTATGGGACACTCCCCTGTGCAATACTTCTCGGTAGTATCGCACTTGTCCGGTTAGCTTTGCATGGGCCCCATGCTATATTCCGTTGCCTGCTAATCGATAGTTGACTTGTCTGTAGCTCCACGCTGAGTTACGCTGACAGTTAGCTGTGGGTTAGTATAACTCTGAGCCATACGGGAGTGGGAACTAGGAGTGGTGTTTATTGTAAACTGCTAGTGGTCCCAACGTTCCGGTGGTCTTCCTGGTATCAGAGGGACCGGATTCTTCGAAATTGTTTTGTGCTGAGCTTTAGCAAAGGAAAATGGCGGGCCTCGGCACCCGCGGACGCAGAAGGGACAACACTGGCGATCAGGGACCGGAGCAGCAGCGAGAGCACACCCCTCCTGCTTCTCCATTGGCGGATCCCCCTGACCGAGAGCCCCCTGGAGGTTCAACACCCCCAAGGAGCCTTGCAGTGGACCCCCCGGAGGATCCACTTCCTTGCGGAGAGTTCCCACCGGAGGAAGGCCTTTCCGAAGCGGAGAGACTCCGCCGGGGAAAGACACACTCAGAGGAAGCATGCCCCTCCAACCTCACCGGGACTGCACCATCAACAGAGGACTTGGTGGAACTCACCCCGGACGAGATCACCCGCTTTGCCAAGTACCAGGAGCAGCAGGCAGCCCAACAACGCACCCGAGCCCGAGAGGGTGAGGAGCACCGCCAAGCTGAGAAACAGTGGGCCTCCTACCAAAGGCCTGACGTCACTCACGCTGCTCGAGAGAGGCCTCCCGGACAGCACATCATGGCGCCTCCTGCCACGTCACCCGCGCCAAGAGTTGCAAGGGGACAAGCTGCTCCGCGACCAGCATCACCCGAGCACCATGCGTCATTGACTTTCAACCAGGCCAGCACTCCACCGCGAGCGCCTCCTACTTACGCTCACGCCAATGGCAAGAACGGGGCGCCTGAAGGACCTCGCCCCGCGCCGTACCAGCAGCCTAACTTTCCGGCGCCCGCTTACGTCAGACCCCATCAGGAGGCCCCACCTGCCATGGCGCCTGCGTTCCAAGCTGGCCAGTTTGGGGCCTACCCATCTGCTAACCAGCCGAACATGGAGTTTTCCGGAGGGAGCCCCCACGCGGCCGCATCAGCGCCACCGCCGGCACCAGCACCACCCTTTGCCACGTCATCACCGGTGGGCCCAGGCTACCAACCGTACCCGAACCACGCTGCACCTTCTGCTGGCCCCCAATACCAGCCGCCAGGGCACTATCATCCGTACGGCGTTCCGTTGAACCAAGGCGCGTTCAACCCGACCGCGGCGCCACCGGGCCAATATGGCCAAAATGGCGGACCACCTGTGCCCCCACCTGGCGCACCCTCAGCTTCGTTGTCGCTGTTTTACACCGGCCCCGGCTACACCGCCACGCAGGCGCCCTACCAGCAGCCCTTCCCGGCGGGCGCGCCCTACCCGGCCACCGGTCCGTATGGCGCCCCACAACACCCTCCAACGGACAGCCGGAATGGCGCGTACATCTACGCCCCCACCGGAATCTACAGCCACGGACCCGGTGCTCAGTACAGCGGCCTCCCGGGACTGCAGGCGATGTACGGCCCTCCGATTCCCAGCTATGGCCCGGCGCCGCCATCTGAAAACCCTCAGGCGCCGAACAAGATCTTCCAAGCGCAGAAGATCGGAAGGCCGTTCAAGGGGACCATAGAGGAGGAAGGCCGGCGCGCGCGAGACTTCATCTCGCAATTCGAGATGACGAGGCGGGCGACGCCAGGTCTCACCAACGCACAACTCGTCACCACAGCCATCGCCAACTTACAAGACGCAGCGGAATCCTGGTACTTCACCGAGGACACCAAGTATTACCAGCTCGCGGGCGCTAACTTGGTGGACGACTGGGAAAGCTTCAAGCGACTGTTTTTACAGCGCTACGGGAAGGTCAACTCATCACATTCGAGGCCAACATCAATGCCGAGAACGTGAAGATCACCATCTTCATCAACGCTCTCAGCGAGCCGCTGAAGTCGCAAGTCAACACTCGCATGCCCGCAACCCTGGAGCAGGCGATCGTGGACGCGGAGTTCCTCAACTATCGCGTCAAGTCGCAAGACTTAGCCGCCGAGGCCACATCCAACGAAGCGAAGAACCGCAAACCGAAGGAACCGGTGGAGGAGAAGCCGAAGCGCGCCCCGCGAGCTATGGTGCGCTCGGTTGAAGACCCCCCACCGTTGGAGCCAAAGTCCACCGAGACAGAGGCTGAAGGACCCCGCCACGTCAGCACTGATCGACAGCAACCGGACCGCGGCTACAACCGCGACAACCGAGGCAGTGACGGTCGGTACAACAACAACCGGGCCAACCCGAACGGAAGCCGCCCAGCATGGAATGGTCAGCGCCGCAACGAGGGCAAGCCGCGGCTCTGCTATGGCTGCGGCAAGCCCGGCCACCTTCGCCGGGAGTGTCCTCATTCCTCCGATCAGAAGGGCGCGAACCTCATCGAAGGAGAGTGCCCCTGCCGCACGTGCCACGAAGAGGGGGACGATTACCCCCACGACTACGATCCGTACGACGACCTTTCCGACTCTGCGCCGGATTTGGAGTCGCCAGCTTCTGTCAACACTGTCTCCGCCCCTTGCGACGGCGCCGACAGCTTGGAGCTGGCTTCTGACGACACGGTCCATGACGCTCACCTTGCCGAGGTTTACGCCGCCGAGGAGGTCGCTGACGAAGTCCGACGCTTCCTCCCGGCCCAACGCCAGCCTTTTCCTATCAACTTGGGACCGGTTCTTCCACCAGCTCCACACGGAAACAACCCGCTCGCGGTGAGCGCTAAAGCGACCCCGCCGCAACGACCAGCGAACCCCCCCCCGAAAGCACCGGTTCCCCCCATGGGCGAACCAACCGGAGACGTGGGCGGGCAGGCATCTTCGCAAGCCTACGTGACGAACCGACCGACTGTTCAGGGAAGCTTTCCCCTAGATTGGGTGCCTATGACGGTCGCCGTACGACACGGCAGCCCCCAGTTGGTACGAGACCTCCAGACGACGGTACGGAAGGCCCTTCAAACTCTGAAGCGCCCCGCCGGGCCGCGTCCTTCCCCGCTATCTGCGCCGCGCGCGGTGGAGACCGTCAACACCATCATCACGACGTCAGCAGAATACCTAGAAGTCGACCCTGACGCCCCCCGACGCTCAATCGCGAAGGTGGCTGCGAAAATGGGAGGGGTTGACGGCCACCGGAAGATTGCCTGGTTGGACAGTGGCGCCAACGTCGACATGATGAGCGCAGACCAGGACTGGAGGCGCAACTCATCAGTGGAGGCGCGCGCTTCAACCTGGTCGATGGCGCGGACTGCACTGGCATCGGACGCGTGGACGCGATCGTTGGCTTCGGACGCTACCTCAACGTCCGCACCCGCTTCATCGTGGCGGAAGGCTTTCGCTACCCGATTCTCTAGGCGTTGGCACGCCGCGCGCCATGTTTGGCGTCATCGACTACTCGACGGACCTCTTCCGGTTCAAGCTTCCTCAGACGCGAGCGTGGCGCTCACTTCCGCTACTTGAAGTCAGCCAAGTCCAAGGCGCGCCCACCGGACTCATCTACCAGGCACCAGTGGCTCAGACCCTGACCGTCCCGGTGGTATACCAGATCGAAGCGCCGGACCCCCCGACCGCTGACGCTGAACCAGGCGGCCCCGGAGGCGAACCCGACCCGGACGGACCACCGGTCGACTCCGCCGTGACGTCATCAGCAACCTTTACCGCGCCCCGGCTGATCTCTACAGATGGCGAGGAGCCCTCGAACGACAGCTCAGACGACCCTTCGTCCGACTTTTCCGAAACATCAGCAAGCACCCCAACCGCATCTCCGACGGACAGCTCTAGCGGCAGCTCGTCGTCAACTCATCCTGACGTCATCATGACGGGCCAAAGCGCAACGGAGGGCACCCCTGACGTCATCCCCGACCCACCGACTGAAGGACCTCCGACTACAGGCAAGCCGATTACTCGCGCCATCTTGCTACGCACCTTGGCGGAAGCTCGACGCCTGCTTCGTTTCTGTCTTGAACGCGAGCTGCTTCCACGCGCCCGCGTCGCCATGTTGGCTCAACTCTACACGGAGGGTTTTGAACATCACAACTACGGGGAGATGCTACACCCGGTGGACGAAGCAAACGAAGCCCTCCTGCCAATCGCCACTCGCCGGCGGCGCGGCTTTCAATTCGTCAACCTCACCGAGGCTGAGGAGCAGAACTTTTCGGAATCCTTCCGAGCAGCAGACGCAATGCCGGTGGTCAACGCTACGGTGGTTCCCCCACCACCCGCCGCCAATGCTGACGGCAGCGACGCCGAGCGGCGTGCCCACCGGGAGGCGGTCCGACCACAAATCCGCCTGGCGGACAACTTGGACACCGGCCAGCGCGAGCAAGTGATGACCCTTCTGGAGAAACACGCGCTCATCGTTTCCAGGGACCCCACCGACTTGGGCCTCGTGCAGGGCTTCTTCCACCACATCAACACCGGCGACTCCAAGCCCGTCAAGATGCAACCTTACCGCCAAAGCTTCGCGGAAGAGGCGGAGATCGACAAGCAAGTGGGTCCCATGGAAGCGTGCGGCGTTGTCCAGCCCAGCGCGAGCCCCTTCGCCGCTGCCGTGGTGCTCGCGCGAAAGAAGAACGGCAAATGGCGATTCTGCGTCAACTTCCGCGGTCTCAACAAAGTGACAGTTCCCGACAACTACCCCCTGCCGCAAATCAATGCCATCTTCGACCAGCTGGGCAACTCGCGCTACTTCACCATGCTGGACGCGCAATCCGGCTACTGGCAGATACCCATGGCGCCAGAGGACATCCACAAGACAGCATTCATCACTCACTGCGGCTTGCGCGAATTCGTCCGCATGCCTTTCGGTCTCACCGGCGCGCCCGCGACCTACCAACGCGTGATGGACATCACGCTCAGCGACGAAATTCACGGACCAGACCCAGTGGCAACCCAGTACCTGGACGACACGTGCGTTCACACCGAAGCCTGGGACAAGCACTTAGAAGCCTTGGACGCAATCCTCACCAAGCTGGCCGCCATCAACCTCAAGCTCTGCCCAACAAAATGCCTGTTCGGCGCGAGCGAGGCCGAGCATCTCGGACACATTGTCCGCGAGAACCAGCTTTTGCCAGACCCTGAAAAGGTGAAGGCCGTAGCCAGCTGGATGACGCCGATCAACGTCTCCGAAGTGCGCGCATTTTTGGGAATGGTGGGCTACTACCGGCACTTCGTCGCGAATTTCTCCCGCATGGCGAAACCGCTTCACCACTTGACTAAACTCGGAACAGCGTTTGAGTGGAGCCCCGAACAAGCGCGCGCGTTTGCGGCGCTCAAAAAGGCGCTCTGCACAGCCCCCATCTTGGTGCGACCCAATCCGGTGAAGCCGTTCATCGTCGACACCGACTACAGCACCGACGGAATCGGCGCCGCTCTCAGCCAGGTGGACGACGACGGAAAAGAACACCCAATCGCGTTCGCCTCCCGGTCGCTTCATGGCGCCGAAGTCAACTACTCCACAACGGACGGCGAACTTCTGGCGATGGTGTGGGCGATTTCCGTCAAGTTCCGACCCTACCTTTACGGCGGGCCCACCTTCACCTGTCGAGTGGACCACAATCCGCTGATCTACTTACATCAGCAGCGGAACCTTACCGGGCGACTGGCACGCTGGCACATGAAACTCATGGAGTACAACTTCACAGTTGTACACCGCGCGGGGCGCATTCACAGCAACGTAGACCCGCTAAGCCGGCACCCACTCCACGACCCACCAGAGGAGGACTGGGACGACCTACCCGCTTATGCCAGCTTCCCATCAGCCGACCTGCCAACCGGAGAAGCTCCCACCGTGCTCAACATCACGCGCTCGCGCCAACGCGCGATTGCGCCCCCGCTGTCCGAGAGGCGCGAGTGTTTCAACCGCTCGCGACCCGGCCACTTCTCTCCGGTGTGCCCTACGCGCGCACAACGGCTCAACACAGCGGCTTTGCCTGAAGTCAACATGATCCTGGCGGACGACTTGGCCCCCGACTGGCTGCCATCATTCGAGACGGCTTGCGCGGCACCACCTCTACCGGAATGGGAACCTGATGTCATCCCACTCGACGTCTTCTCCACCTACCAACCCAACTTTGACGGCGAACTAGTGGAAATTGCTCCGACAGTCAACTACTGCGAGCCCAGTACCGACTGGTGGAAAAGCCGAACCCCCTCCCCCCCACCCGCTGATCAACCCGGCACTCCACCACTCGTTTGTACAATTGACCGAGCCCGGGACGTCTCGGAATTGCAAGGGGACAGAGGTGTTCCCACCATACGCTATGAGGACTGGGCCCGCCAGCACCCGTCCGTTCCGTACGTCGAGAAGGAGCCCTCACCAAAGCCAGCAACAGTACTGAACGGAGCTGTGGCGATTCCTATCGACTGTGGGCCGCCCAGCACCCAGACTTCGCGCTTCAGAAGCACGCGAAGGTGCCATACGCGACTCCAGACGCGGCCCCGCAGAAGGCAGCCCGGAAGGAGCGGAACAACCTCTACCAACGGAGCCAACAGCCGCATCAGCGGAGCCCTTGAGGGAGCCTACCGAGGCAACGGCGGAACAACCTGACCCAGACGAAGAAACGGAGGCATGCTTAGCGCTAGCTGCACTCGCAGCAGACGAACAGCCTCATCCTCAGCCTCAGCATCAGCCTCTCCCGGCGCAGCCCCCGGAGACTATCAACATTGGGGAAAAGCGTAACCTAACGGAGACCGAAGGCGATCAACCGGAGCTCCCGACTAAGCGCTTGCCGCTGGAGGACCGCACAGCGCTGGCCGTGACGTCACCACCGGAGGCCGAACCACCGAGCCCCGCTGAGCCGTCCCTCGCGCTGACGTCAGCATCATCCGAGCCAACAGAACAAGAGCCTGATCTGAGGCTAGACGAAGTGAAGCTGCTGGACACTCAACTTGTTTTGAAATTTTTAGACGAGCCTTCCAGGGGAACTATGTGAAGCCCACGAGGAGGCAAAGAAGTTGCTGCCAGCACCCCCAGCCTTCCTCGACTTAGACGCGCTGACGGAAGCCAAAATGGCGGATTGGAGTCGAGCAGCACGGTTCCACCGCAACGGAGGGGACGACAGTTTGGTGCGAGCCGCTACCCTCTGCGAACGAGTGGCCCTCACGCTTGTTCAACAGGATCCGAACCTGACGGCGGCCGACGTTCTCGAGCGAGTGAACTCCACCGTTTAGCATCTTCGGCAGGGCCTGCAAAAGGAGATTGAGCTTTCGAAGAACGTACGAGCGGAACCAACAGAGGCCGCGGTGGTCCCCCTGCCCACTCTGGAGTTGGACAACCCCCCACCGTTCGACTTGGCCAGCTTTCCAACTCCTGACCCGCTGAAGTACGTCATCGGAGACCCTGACGTGGCATACTACTTCAAAACTAGCTGCCTCCCCGCCTTCCACGGAGAGCCGGTTGAGAGGAGGAAGGACCTCCGGCGCCAGATCCGCGACCGGTCCAAAATGTACCACATGGAGGGCGAGCGGCTCTACCGGCTAGCTTCCCCGAAGGCGCAACCAAATCAACCACCACCTCCCAGCGTCATCCGAAGGCCAGTACTCACCAAACCGGAGGCCGACTCGGTG